ATCTACAGGCAAATATATTTTCAACAGTATGCGTAGATTTTCCCTGTGATGTACAAGAGCTGAGAAAAAATGTTTTCAAGAAACATGTTTGCCTAAGATACTGTATTACCCTAAACATGTATAATGCTAATAGTTTAGTATGGAATAGTTTTGTCTGTTTAAATATTTTCATAGTAAAATAAACTACTAAAGTTAATTTACTCTACATACGAAAAAACATGAATTTGAAATGTATAGGTTTTTTTCGTAACTAATACGAGAATGAAAACCGTTTAGCCTTCTGAGATATTAGTACCGGTAATTAAAGTCTCAACACATAATAGGGTATGGTAATATGGGGTAATGGTATATGGTGCCTTACGAAAAGTTAATTGAAGAAGCGAGATCAATTAAATCAAATTACAGAAGAAGTTAACATGTAATGTATATAATTACAATATTGGAGAACCTTGGCCACTCACATTTAGTTTTTACTCGAATTAAAAGAAATGTTTACAAACATCATATTTATGACACACTTAACGAAACAATACTTTTTTATGTATTTAGATTACATTAAATAAATAATTTGATTTATAAAAACTTGAATGTCATCTTATAATAAAATAAGTTGCATGGAGGATATTTTTTGGGGCAGTGTAACTATTCGATAACACAAAATACAAAGTCCAGTGTTGAACACACTGCTCTGTTGACAGAGGTGTAATATATTATTTACCTTTTGCCCTCGGAGGACCAGATAACTTAGAGGGTTCAGATAATGTTGTGATACACGACATTTTCTCTCGGTACCTCTATTTATAACATAATCGGTTTTGATATCTTCTGACTATATTTACAGATGTATTTAACGTGCTAAGGCTACCAATAATATTTATCAGGGCAATGAACAGAAATTTTGTTACGGACTCGATTGGGAAATACTACTTTCACATGAATACAATAAATTTTCTTTAATTTTTTTCTATCTTATCTATTAACAATAATGGAAACGTTGAATACTATTAGGAACTGAGAGTGAATCGTTTCGTTATAGTTCAATTAATTATAACTGTCGAAAACAACATAACATTGTTTGTACTAGAAACTAAGGAAGTGATGGTCCGTTGAACAAAACTTTCAAAGGCCTTACAGTCATAAGTAATGACGAATTTCAACTTCATATAAAGCTGCACATGCATCTAAAAATAATGTACAGCCTCATAAGTAGGCTTTCGTGGATGATGCTAGATTCTGTAAAATTCTGTTTACATTAAATTAGCAAAAATGTAATTACATAACCCCTTACTATGCAACTTGAAGAAAGTATTAACAATATATCTAAAATATAAAACTATTTCATTTTGGTACTTATTATTTTCTCAAAAAATATGTCTTGGGGGATTCAATGTATAATTCCCTGGACTGAAGTGTCTAATGCTAACGGCATCCCACCGAAACATTTTAAAACAAACATCGTTACTTTTAGAACCACACGAAAGGTAATAAAAACAAATGTAGAACTTAGTGTCGTTTTTAGCAGGAACATAGTTTAACAAGTTGTACTATTTAAGTTGTATTGTTTATTAAGTTGTATTAAGCTGTACTACGAGGCAGTTTAATTTTTATGGATTATCTGTGTTTTTTATATTTTTCATTTAACAAGAAAGAATATTAGTATAAAATAGAGTTAAAAAGTAGCACTAACAGCATCATATGACTACTTAATAGACATATCCAATTTTGTTTACCATACTACCATTTTAAAATGTAGTAATATTAGTTTTGTTAAAACACAAACCTAGACCTTTTGGTTAATAACAGTAAGTCTCATTCATATGTAAGTTATAAATGCATGTTTTTGTGAACATTAGGGCTATAAATCTTCGAAATGGCTTCCGTTACCGACGCAAACTCCTCTGTGAAAACTCCAACTTTGGCGGATGTGTGAGATTAATACTTTTAGTTTTGTTTGTGTTTTATTTTCAAAATACCATATACAAAACTTATGCTGCGGTCGCATTCAGAGGAATGTATTACCAGCAATATGTAGACATTATATATACCCGTATAAACCAAAGTACAAACAATTGTTTTAAAATAACAACAAACTAAAAAAAGTATATTTGGATGCAAATAACGATTAATATAACACCAGTTATTAGGCACACGTTAGATATTTGTGACTAGCTTCGTTTAGATAAGGCTAATAGACCTACTGTATGTGGCCCACCCATCGATATATAGTTGTTATATATCGATGGGCCCACCAAACGTAAACACGTGGCACCGTAGGACTATTTGTGTCTCAGAGAGAAATATAGACCTCAAGGGACTTTAAATCGATGATGAACTTATTCTCGGAATTCGCAAGGCACAAATATCTTTGTAGGTAGGCTACATATAAGAACCCTTTGTCATCTAAGCTCAATTAAATGTAATGGCATTCACCGTTGTTGTCAACAAGTAAAGTTGTTCTCGGAAGATAAGTTGATTACGTTACGGGATTTGGTGTAAGCTTACGATAAGCAATTAGCTCAATTATTACTCTGCTAGGTTCTCAGATACACTCTCGATTTCATAGTAACAAACAGGTGGATCATTTTGCCAAGGGGTCATGTCCAACGCACACAGGTCGTATAAAACTCTATACAATCTCCAAGAAAACAGAGAAGCAAACTGAAAGCCTTTAACACCGAAGGTTGAAGCTCAGTAGCAATTTCACTTAAGTCTCTCAAAATATCAAAGCTTATCACAAGACACTGCCACGTTAGAGAATTGCAATTATTATCTCTCTTCCTTAGAGAAATCAATACAACAAAATGCGATTTCCAGAGTGAGAAAACTGAGCCTCTGCTCCTTATCTGAAACAAGAACATGTCAGGGATCATAGGAGGTATTTTTGAGGCAGTGATATCATAATAAAGAATTATTGAAAGAGAATTTTTCGGGAAACTTTAATCAATGAGATCGTCAACTATAAAGGACTCTAGAAATCTATTGTTTCTAGAGTTGTTCCAGGGAAATGTCAAAAAGCTAAGTTTTTCTTAAGCACATTGATTTACTTTTATTATGGCTTTTATACAAAAATATAAAAAAACTATGACCTCTAACCACCTAAACTTTATAAGATGATCGCATTTGGTAAAAACCCCTTGTATGAGCCAAAACTAAGCATGTTATAGTGATATCATAATATTATTAATAACACATAAAATGGCAAAACACCGTTATAATTTGACTGAATCAGTAATTTAAACGAGTTAACGAGCTAAAATAGTTTTGCGTAGGATTTTAAACTGTTCACAAAACATCCGAGGGATGTTTCTACCATAAATGGTACTACAACAGATGTTAAAACAATAAAAGCTGGGATGAGAGTCTCTATAAGCCCACTTATACACCTGGACTCTGATAGCATAGGAATTTATAGCGTAAATCCTCTAAGCCCGGTCGATTGTTTCCTTTATTCAATATTGAACAGTTATCAAGCCCTTAATGGATCCACAAAACTTGTATGAAGATCTTTCTTCTGTTGTAAATTTACCCAACAAACTTACTTGTACAAAAGACCTTATATCGTACATTTTTGGGTGGATTCTTCATAAAGAATAATAACTACTTAGTTTAACTAACTGAAATATTCGTGACAAGAAAAAAAAATTGTATTCAAATTATTAATAGGACACATTTTATGAGTTTTGTTAGGTTTACCAACAGACCTTTCGATTTTATGTCACTTGTATTTGTAAATTAATTGAAAGACGTAAATGACCGATGATGTAAAGACTGTTTGATGTAGTTTTAAAAGTTATATTAGTATTAATTTAAAAACAAATTATTAATTTCATAAAATACTAAGATTTGTATAGATAGTTTCAAAGTGTATGGCTCAAAATGCATTTGCGAAATTTCAATCGTGGTTTAGATAGTTAATAAGTTGCACACAGTTAGTGTATTAGTTTATAAATGTGCTAAGAGGGTATATTAGTCTTCATTGACCAAAAGGAAACTTCAAGGGCAAGCAAAGTTCAAGTGGTTAAAAAAAGTTTGGGCTTAAGGAGTTTTTGTATTTGAAGTACCCTAATTTACCCTATACCATATGTATACCCTGATGTCTAGACTTCAACCAACTGGTTAGTACTCATTAAAAATATCGCACAAAATCAGTTTTTTTTTTTTTTTTTTTTTTTGCACAAAAGGTATTTATGTGATTAACTAACTGAAATATTCGTGACAAGAAAAAAAATTGTATTCAAATGATTAATAGGACACATTTTATGAGTTTTGTTAGGTTTACCAACAGACCTTTCGTTTCATTTCAGTACTAACTTACCTTTAACACTTTTGACTGAAATAGCAACCAAACGAATGTTGTAACTTTAAGCCAAGTATGAATAGAGATGAGTGGCACGATCTTATAGCATCGTTACTAACTAAGGCCTACATGTTTCCTGGGAAGGACTGTTAATTAATGGCCCATACAGCCAATGGGCATCTGGCGTTTGTACTGGAATCGAGTCACATTTTTGCCTTGTAGTATTACTGCGAATAGTAGTGGTACTCATTTCATTAGTGTGGATGTTAATCCGCACAAGGGAGTATCACATACTCAGATCATGCCTAAAACATCCACAATTTGTTACCTCAAAGTAGCTAGATTACAGGACGACGCCATGATCCCAGTCAATAATACAATATTAAAATATTGCTACAAAACAACTTTTATTTTTTTGCGTTTAAAATGTGGATCCATGTAATCCTTTTAATTAATTGTAATATTGTTTTATTTACAACTCAGTAATACGTACAGTACTATTGAAAAATGCAATGCCATTATGAATTGAATGAAATGGAAATGAAGATTCTGGTTAAAAATATTAAACAATGTTTGAATCAATCAATGAATTGAAATAGAGCTTTAGAGATTATTGATAAAAGCCGAATTTAGATAACAGCAATGATCGTTAGGTTAACGCGATAAGGTTATTGTTAGCATACTAGGCGTTGTTTGTGTGACTGACAAACTTACACGTGACTGTCAGATTCTCAATTGTATGTGATTTCTATGAGTGAGATTATGTTTGTCAACCGTTTAGTTTTAAGTACCGAAGTGTTTTCTGAAACATAAAATCAAGAAACGTTTAACTAAGGTATTTTCTTTGAAGTGTAGATTACATCTAGGATGTAAGTAATAAACATTAGTGAACCATGTAAATTATTATATAATTGTATATTATGTAACCAAATTCTTTAAAAAGTACCAAATTAAATAAATGAGGGTTTATTACAGATGGTATTGCTAGTTTGTTATGTTTAACACAGTATACATTAAAGATCATGTTGTAACAAAAAAATGTATAATATGAAAGACATTTCAAGTTTGAAATAAAATCAATTATTATTAGGTTAAGGTTGGGGTAAAATTAAGCAGAGAGAAAAAGCATGAATTAATTGAAGTGAGTTGCAATAAATTAATTTACCTTTAATAGTATAAAACAAAGTAAAACTTCATTGTTATCATTGTAAATATTTGGTGAAATAACTTACCCAATGTTGAGAACGAAGTCAAGTGATCGTTTTTTACAAAAGATATTTATTGTATTTTGGAGAGCAAAGGTTTATCGGACGCTGTATGAATCAAGTATAAAAATAAATAATAGAACATTCTTTAAATTTAATTTGGGTATTAGATTTATTAGTAAGAAGAAAGACAAATTACAAATAAATATACATAGGTTTTACACATTAAATTGTATAATTGCAAAACAATATTTACATGGATTTCATTGTTAGTTAATTTTATTACCAGTGTTCAAGATTTGGTTGTATTTATTAGCCACTATATTATTATTATTAACTAACGTAACGTTACAGCTCACATAACGTTTTTTGCATTGTGATCGCAGCAAATAGTTAGAAGGACTCAACCAGTTAAACCACTAAAATACGCTTGCCTATCAAACATAGCTAAGATGTTTTTTAGTGCGTAGTTAAATTATAAGTTGAAAAAAATAGATCCAATATCCACTTTTCTAAACTGTCAAGTACATGAGTTAAAAAACACCTTGAAATAATTTTAAAATAACACTTAAGCAATACGTGTCATTATCGTTGCATTTTTAGTTGTTAATCATAAGCCAAATTTTCATTTTAGCTTGCACATGAGGTTGGTTACCTTTTGAAACTTTATTATTTATTTTAACCCGAACCAAACCTATGTTTATAAATAAAATATGTGATAAAAATACCCTCCTGTGTACTCTTAGGAAATGTGTCTGGAAATCATCACTCGAAATATGTGGAACGCAGTTCCATCAAGGCCCACAAATAGAACGATGGAAATCGTACATCCAGCCAGAAATGTGATCGTAACTGCTACTTACACCAAAGAATGCCAGGGTCAACTCTCTTGCGCATTAATTCTTAAAGCACTTCAGGACAAAGCAATGAGGTTTAAGTATTTGGAAGATATTTATTACAAGTAAGTGTGATCAAATGAAACGATAAAATTGTTATTTCTTGTTTCAAAACTGTTTTCAGTTAGTTGCCGTTAATTATTTGCAAAGTTTGAAGCAATAGAATTCTCTATTTTGTAGGGTATCTCTAATTAAATATTTTCTTCTGCAATTACAGTCATGGCCACGTAGATTGTGAAATCGTCTATCAAACTTCCGTATTTACATTTATTAGCTAATTAATAAGGAAAGTCAATTGTACAGTTTTCTCCTAATCAACTTAGTAATTAGTATAAGGGTGGAACATAAAAAAAAATGTCTGACATCAAGTTACAAAACATAAAATTTACAATGGTCAATCAGGTAAAAAATATTCATAACAATCACATAAAAAAAGTTAACACTAGTTAATGACTGTGTTCAAAACTTAAACACATAAAATAACAGGAAAGATAAACACTTTCAAACTGTTTGTATGATTACTCCGTATTTAGCAGTTATTACTTCTTATGATAATCAAGTATGTAATTAGAGATAAACAAGATATTAATTAAATGATGATACTTTATAACAGTTTGGTTTGCAGGTCTTGAAAATAAAAATATAGTTATATTTTTTAATAAAGTAGAGTGTTTACATAACAGACAGAAATCGAAAATTCCATGGACGCTAAGCAAATAGAAATAAAAAATAAAAAAACTCTTTGGAGACCATTTTACTTCTCTTACCTGCCGTGCGAATATGTTAACATATTTGTTTAACCTAACAAAAACCTTAAACTTGGAATATTCAAAAATAAAACAATGCTCTTGTAAACATATTGACATATATTTTAATTTAAAATCAAGTGGATATGATTACAGGATTATTTACTTTAAAGCAGTTATCACAAAAAACCAGGCGTTCGTTTCTTTTGGAGAGAAACTTTTTATTTTAAGAAATTGTCAAAATTAAAATTTGATTTCAGTTTTCTTATTGGTGGCGACGGGAAGGTATACGAAGGGCGTGGTTTCATCCAAGCACCTTGTCTGTCTCCAAGATTTAAAAATATGACGTATCAAACTTTATACATTGCATACATAGGAGGTTTTTCTGGTGAGTTGACATTAATATTAGTGTGAGAAGTGCAGCAAAGTACTTTGCTGCACTAAACGAACGAACTGCTGGAGAGTGTGGAAAGTTTTTCGAGTGCAGCAAAGACACTTTACGCTCGTGATACATAATATTTTTCCTATAATTACTAAAAAGCATATAAATAACAGGTAGCCTAATTGTGTATACAAGTAAGCTTTTATTATGCAGTTTCAGAAATAAGCATATCTAAATCTAAATTAAATCGTCTCATTAATAAATCAAAAACCAAATTATATTGTTTCAAAAAAATAAAAATAAAAATCTTATTAAAATTTTACAATAGTTATATGCATAACCAGGGCACGAAGTGGCACTTTGCACTTGCGTTACACATTATATGTTTCCTACAGTTACTATAAAGCAAATAAATAATAAGTCTTTTAAACACAAAAAAAAAATTATTAACACACACTCAAACATAGGCTATTCATGTTAATTTATAAATCCTTATTTCAGAAAAAAGGCCATCGGTCAAGATAAGAAATGCCAGGTATCTTCTTGTTCAACATGGGATCTCTATGGGATACATCCACCCCGAATACCATAAGATTGATTTGCTGCAGCGAGAGAATATAGACGCTTCTGGATTGTACAGACAAAACCTTAGAACTCGAGCACGACTTTTATCATAAAATTAAATACTATCTAAGTCAGTCAAACATTACTTCAGATTAAACATGGTACTTAAAGGCACATGTTATACAAATGTGAATACTACCACAAATACTTTCAACAGTAAGTGGTATGCAATGATGTCAATAATGAAGTACGCCTGAACAACCTGCTGTAAATATTGTAGATACATAAAAATATATTTATTGAAATATATTTTGCAATTAGTTTTGAGTTGTTGATATTACCAATAGTTTTATTTCCAAACAATAATATTTGTTTACATGATTCTAGACCATACTTTTTAAAACTAGTATATAAAAAAATAAATGGTAACCACATATTAATACAAAATTAAATTTTGATGCATCGTAATTTCATAAATAGGATCGGATATCATATATCCTACAGTAGGATTCATTCGAATTTCAAAAAGAATTGTTGAATTTTTTTATTGAGGAGACATGCAAATGTGATACTTTAAAATATATTTAATTTTAGAAGTTGTTCGAATTTACTTAATTTTGCAATCATTATTATGCGCTGCCACAATGATTATGCAAAATAATAAAACTCATGTGGAATAGCTATTTTTATGAAAAATGAAACATTCTATTTATACAGAAAAATTTTATTATAATATTCATTAGATTACCCTAGTTTATTTAATAGTTCTACTACTGTAAAGACAATTAAAATTACTTGAAAGTAGTGTTCGGATAACAATTAATTAAAATGCTATTTTATGGTACCGGTACCTAACGTAAAAAAATAATTTTCTAGATGTAAAAACCTGTCAACATTTTTCTGTTTTATTGTCATGTGTATTTTGAAAAATTGTAATAAAGTGTTATATCAAGGACTAGCTGTACCCGCGGGCTTTGCCCCGTTAAACTTCACAAGTGAGCTCGTTCGCATGGCTCAATCACGTCCTGGTTGATGTTCGTTCGCTACGCTCACTCACCTTTAGGTTGGAGCTCGTTCGCTCCACTCACTTACCTTCAGGTTACCTCGTTCGCTACGCTCACTCGCTTCCAGGTTGAAGTTCGTTCGCTACGCTCACTCACCTTTTGGTTGCAAATTGGCTGTAGTCATAAATTTAAAAAAATAATAGTGCTGCACCCTGTTGGCAATCATTGTAACTTTAATGCTATTGAACATCATAGAACAGAACTAATTTGTTTAATTGAAACAGCTGATAAGAAATTCCTTTTAAATATGAAAATCATAAGGTTAACATGGGAAACTCCAGAGCCACTGGGGCGGAGCCCGAGAGCCCGATCAGAATTAAAACTACTTTGTCGACTATTTAATGCCCAAAGAATCGGTGTACCGAATTTCAACCTCCTAGGTAACTGAGAAGTGGGAGAATTAGTGATGAGTGAGTGAGTGAGTCAGTGAGTCAGTCAGTCAGTCAGTGAGTCAGTCAGTCAGTCAGTGAGGGCTTTGCCTTTTATATATTTAGATAAACAATTAGCAATTAGTATATACGTCTTTATAGCAGAAACATCGAGCTTTTAACGTATTAACGACCTCTTGCGACACTATACCAGCATCCTAATATTACCTTGTGTAGTCAAAGTGCATCCCATCTGGGTATTATGAGGTACTAATTGGAATGAGTTTATAGGGTACTAGCTTTTACCATGGATAAAACGTACCCCTTAGTAGATTGGTGTCAATATGTGCTTCAGCTTTAAATTTGTATTTAGTTTGGTTTGGTGCCAATAGGATCGTGTTTTTGTTTACAATTTGTTTCTTCATATTTCAACCACTAATAGTAGCTTTTTAGTTGTTGAAAAACCTGCAAATAAAATGCAAAATGAAACTAAATAAGACAATATAATTTAAACAATATCTGGACCTCTAGCTATATACACACAAAAACAGTAGAGCATAAATCATTAAATTTACCCTATAATAATAAAAACACGATTTCGTCGACACTTGGCACCCAGTGTCACCAACGTGAACTATACACGAAAAATTACCTTCAAATTTTTAAATAGGTTAAATATCTACTTGTGTTGGTTGGTCTATCCTTTTACCATGGGTTGTATACATCCTATTACCATTGTTTGCAGTTTTTCTCTCTTGGTTAACATACTTAAATTTATCTTCCAATAGAGTGTGTTGGCGTGAATTATAGAATTCTGTTTGCAAATAATAGGAGAAATATGCTTATTTAGTTTGATACAAACTAGCAGAGTGTCGAGAACCAGAAAAATTTACACCTTGTTTGTGAGTCATTTACAATTGTGCTACAGAATTCATTTTTAACACCTGATTTCTATAGATATAATGCAGATCATATTTGAATGTATTAACATTGAATTGTGGATATTAAAGACATTTACTGTACTATAAACGAACTGATTAGGCCTAAGTAAACATAGGTAGTTATCACAAACTGTAGACAGCATAAACTGCATATTTGATAATGTCACCTGTTCCTCTAGCTGCGCTAGAAACTTGGAATGTATTCTTGTGTATGTGACGATAAAGTAATATTTATTTATTTAACAATGTAGACATTGAAAATACCTGGAAATAGACCCTCACGTGTATCATAATTATAGCTCCTTTTTGGGATATAACTATTTTGCATATTTATCATAGTCATTGTGGATTTTTTTTCTCAATGATCTGCCACAAATAGTACGATTAGAATCTGTAAAAGGAGAGTTTCTAAAAGGTGGGTAAAGAATCAAAACTGCAACTGCACCATCCTTCTACTACTCTAAATCGGAGCAAATGAGATTGGGATTTAGGTGTCAAACAGTAGTCATTAATGTGGAATTTTATCCAAGAAATGTTATTGAAAACTGATTAATTATTTAAACTTTGTGTGTAGTTAAACAAATTCCATTTCATTTAAGTTTATTACTAATACTTTTTTCAACTTGTTGCAACATTTTAATTTTTAAATACATACTTATACCTCATAACCAATAGAATAATTTTTATTTCAATAGACTATTGAACTATATTACTCATGTCGTTGGCAAAAAAGTGAAGGCGGCTGGTGTTGAATTCTTTGTTACTGACATATTTTTAAAGATACCTCATGTTATCATGATTGATAAATTAGATGATAATACCTATACATAAATACATAAAATATATAAACATAAATGATATTTTATATAAGTTATATAAGTAAATCCCTGTGTGATAATTTTTATAAAAAGTACAAATACTGTATTTTTGGTGTATATCATAATACATATATATTTTTTGTTGTTGCAACATATCTCTTATAAGTACGAAATGTGCATTAACTGTTATTATCATTTAGTTACAATTAAATAACAGTTAGTTTAAAGGACCAACGCACGAGGCTCATAGTTCAAAGGATAAACGCATTACTGACTCGACAGAATGGCGAATGAACCACTAAATCAGAACGGACATAATTGGTGGATCAGCAAGGTGTTAACCTGAATGACAATGAAGTAAGGTTCGTACCTCATCAACCAATTTAATGCTTGGAGTTACAAGCCTCCTAATGTTTATAGAACAACTATAATGTATGATTGACCTAAGTAACATAACTAAACATAAAAAAATACAAACCTAAGCAACAAATTTCATATTTTATTCAACTGGTTTCGTATTATTCATACATTTTCAAGCCTTAGACAGTATTATAATTTACCACTAACATGAAAAATAAAAAAAATAATACTTTTTCACTGCAAATTCTGAAATATAATGCAATTTTCGAGTGTGAACGAATGCAAATACAACTTTTCTTCTATAATTAATTAAAGTCTATGTATGCCATATCAACCTTTTTCAGATTTACTTTCTTTAACTCTATTACCTCTTCGGGAAAATATTTAACTGACTGTCTCATATTTTGGTAAGAATTTATTGTTTAGCTAGTCACTATGATAAATAAACATTCTATAAGGTTTGCAATAATCTAATTAAGGTAGATCTAACTAAGCAGACTAAAGTTAACACTATGTGTTAATAAACCACTTATAAACATTAAAATAACAAGCTCATATGATTCGAAGAGATTGAAAAGGTTAAGGGTTCGATCATGTGTAATCTGATAACATTAAATCAGTTGTACTTTCCTTACTAAATTTCAAACATATAAAATAACCGTCCTATTATGTGACCTCAAAACATACTGTCTTATTTAGTTATAACTTTTAATTAATTTCAGTTTCAAATGAAAAAAAAAACATTACAATTGGGATAACTCATAACATACATAATTGAAAATACATTGACTATGCTACATTTATTGATACGATATATTAATATTAATACTCTTGCCCAAAATCTATCTAAGTATTACCATTACTTATTTATGTAACCTGTACACTTAAACATAACTTTCCACATAATATAAATTTACTAACAAAGGTCGACTATTATTTGTTGTCACAGGGTCAGTGAGCTGAAACCAATAGAAACAGGTGCACTCAGAGATAATCAAAAACCAATATCTATTTACCGTTTTGAAACCAAACAAAAAATCATAAATAAGTCTACTTACGTATTGTATTTTATTTTTTTTTAGACATACAAACATTATGTATATATTTAATTCCCTATTTTAATTGTTTTGTCATTGTGACATACCGTCTACATAAAAGTGAACAATAACTCTATGTTATAATGATTTCTTGATGTTTCAATAAACAACATCCGCTACGAAACAATTAACTACATAAATGAGTTCAACAAATGAAAGTTTATGGTGTGTGAGGTAATAAATTGTTCTAACGACTTCCCGTACAAAGGTCACATTTGAGGGACTTGCATTGTTTTTAGTATATGAATTGCATATGGGTTTGTTATTCACACCTGCAATGATATTAAAAGATTGCATTTAAAATTAAACAACATAAAATAAACATCAAAAGTTCCTACGAAGTACCTGTGCGTTTTTGAGTCGTTAATTCCATTGGAAATTCAGCAAAGCTAAGGGAAAATACAAATAACAACAGGTAAACATTTTTGGAATTTAATAATGTAAACAAAATTGCTTTGTTCTAATATTACATTATCTTGCGTAATACTTTTTCCGTGTCTATATGACTATATTTAAGAGACCAAAAATGACTTGATACTTTCAAATTTTATATTTACTTTTTATGCTAGTACATTTAAACTTAACGGGACAATCAATTTGTTTTAGGTTGGTTAACA